ATTTGTCGCGCACGTACATAATGCAAATTTAAGACTTATATGGTTTTTTCGTGGATACCATTATCAGAACTGGACTAAATTGAAATGAGAACACACGGGCAGCATCAGCTTTCTAATAAAAAAAGAATCATCAAAAATCGATTCACCCAGTCAAAAGTCATGAGGAAACAAACAAAAAAAAACATACAGTCGAATTGAGGACCTCCTCCTTTTTTGAAGTCGCTTAAAAATAGGGAATTTAATAGTCTATCAACCTGGTTAACTCGTTAATTTTATAATTCGAATTTATAGTTTGAATGTCAAGGAAATCAATTCGATATTAAAAACAACGAAATAGAATAGTAGATATAATTGAGAATCTCTCACGGAGTACAAAAACTTTAAGCTATAACATATTGCAGACCTGGTTGGTCGCAATCCAATATCCAACGGGATACATTTGAAGACTAGAAAAGCCATAAGTATCAATGGGTAAAAATGAGACTTGTCTTGTTAAGGAGTGAATAGCAATATTCAAGTTAAAGCGTGGTTTCCGGTACGCCTTTAAAATTAGGTGAGCCGTGAGCTTCTCTATCCTTCACAGCCATTAACATGATTGGGTTTTAATTTACGTTATTTCTTTGATTAGAGAACGATTTAATAAAGGATTGAAAGTATTAGAGTTTGTAGTTTGTTTGAGATGAAATTTCATCTGAATAACACTTCCGGAAACGACATAAGGCAAATCCGATTCTCGGTGAAATTGTGCGTATCTTATTGTTTGTTTTAAGCAATATTCATTCCGTTTGATTTTTCCAAAGTTTTTATAAGCTGACTTTACCATAATTTTGCTCCTTTTTGGGAAATTATACCGGAACATTGTGTATTTTACATTTCATTATTGGCATGAAGAAATGTGTGTACCGAGTGACAAATGAGAGTGATCGAAGAATATGATTTGCAATCGAAGTAAATGACTCGTTTCGCCTCTCCAAATTAATACCAAACTTTAAATTTTTAATTTCCAACGACGTCCGTTGAATTAGTCAGCCACTAAGCCAAGACCAATAATATATGAACGTATATTACCTTTAAATGGTCGAAAAAATTTAAACAAGTAAATTTATTAACATGTTTAATGATTTCTAAAAATCAAGATGTTCAAGATGTCCGTTTCAACTTTCTCTAAATCAAAACATATTTAAACTTTTAAATATCGTCTCTGTATGTAAATAAACCTATAATGTAGAGAGAGGTGACGACTTAATATTTTCAGACCGAATAATTAAATTTACTAAACTTTAATATAAATGCTCTAGTGTATACTAAATTTTAATAAATGATTAATTATTGCCTTCTTTCATTAGCTGGTTTTATTATATTTTCTGTGGCTCTTTGTGGCGAAAATCGTTTTATTTATATATTTTTTAATCTAAAAGTCGAAGCTTCAAGGCAAAAGTAACTAAATAGGTATCATCTGTATTAAGGCGATTTTTTTTTCATAAATAAGTTCCGACCTATAATACTGTCGAGAAACAATATCTGTGTTTTCGAAGCGCCTCGCAAAATTTGATATTGGCTGTGAACTCAATTAGATCCCAAATATAACGCATGTTACGTTACGAGATGCACAAAACGTAAGCACATAGATGTTATGTGTACTGTATCGTATCCGCAATCACAAAAGGTAGCAGCCATGAAATTTGCTATTCAGGTTCAATGCTCAAAGTCAATCGTTCACGGTAGCCGTTTACTCCATTAATTCAGTCATTGTTTCGTGTTAATTGCATCGAGATTTTGTATAAGGCACATTTAACAACACTCAGTCTATTAGCTTTCATAAGCAACGTCCTTTGTGTATTAAACCAGCTTAATGCGATCGGCGACCGGCATTTGGTGCTGCCAGGGCGTATTGTAAGTCTGCGCGAGTCTAACTCGCATCCGGCTTGTTTCTGTCGCAAACCAGTCATGCGTTTCGGCTCGAAGGGCGGATTATCCGTTGTGCAATGTAGTTCAGACCCAGACCTCAAGTCTCGGGAGAAGCAGCATTCACTTTGATATTTCTACAAGAGATATTCGGTATCCACCGAAGATGATGTTTTTATTTATGAAATAAAATATTGTCCATGAACTACTACATATTATACAAAAAAATTGTTTTGAAAAAGTGTGATTTCGAAAACGCGTTAATGACCACTTTAATTACTGAACATTTCAAAGGAAAAAGTATTATATTATGATTAATCTCTGTGTCGCGTGAATTATAACGGCGAAAAATGTAAAGTTGAAAACGTCACGTCATTTACAATTTATCATGTTTTTATATTATTTTAGGTGAATCGGGTAAAATTGTTATTCCTAAAGTTAGGTTACTCAAGCACGTTCCTACAACATTAAATAAATCTAATTAATACTTCACAGTAAATGTCATCGATATGGAAGTGTTTATCATTATTTACTTCCGAAATAAGACAATTTTAAATTATTAATTAATTCACTATATATATACATACAAATATAGTGAAGGATAGGTCGCTCGCTCGATAAAAAATTATAAATAAAAGTGCCCAAGGTACGATGATTTGAGTGCAACTTCACAAAAATGTCGAAATGTTATCTAAAGTGGTACATATACATGCATTTCTTGTTAATTTGACAAGCATCCGTTCATCAGTACTCACCTTGAAGGATCCTGCCTGACCTCTCAATTAGACATGCCGAAGTGTGCTCTGTGATTCTGTCCAACGTTACGGAATTGTTCCTTTCAAAGACAATAGTCTATCTTAGATGGGTGACATACACACAACATGCACAAGTTTGAAATCAATATACCAGTTCATAATTTATCGGGCAAATAAATTTCATGTTACGAAATCATATGCTGCATAATTTATAACATCAGTCACTAGTACTGGCGTCGGTCCGTACCTTCGATTGCAACAGCTCGCGTTGGTTTTCAATCAGTCGAGTTGATTTCAAATCATTTTCATGTTTTTGGTTTATTAGTTACTAGCTGTACCCGTCTGCTTCGCTGGGCATTTAAAATTAACATTATTATTTCTCACCCCCACAAAGATTCTCATCATTAACGCCCCCGCAACTGGTGTAGGGAGTCCAACACTCATATAAATATTAGCCTACCCATTAAGTACATGTATGTTCTACATGGATACCAAGTTTCAAGTCAATCGGATGCATGGCTCAGTAGTTATAACGGAACATCCGTAAAAACCACTGTAGATTTATATATTAGTATATATTTTAACCATTCTCTCTTTGTTCAATTAAAATAATATTAGAAGTCTAGGTTTTTTTGCTAGTATTCATTTCCAGCAGGTCGAATATGCAAATATAGGAACAAGTTGTAGCAACGGCAGCTTTCGCGGATCGAACGGGTGGGCTAACCGCAGCCAACGGCTTTTTTAGGCTTCATGCCAACTGACAGAGTCGCAATACCACCGAACCTGGCCAGAATCATGACCTATTGGAAAGGATTTTGTATGCACATATTGGATACATTAATGTTTGTGTTATTAATACATAGGTATGTATATAATTTTCTTCCTTTTTATCATATTCTTAAGCACCTACCTTGAAATCTCTGAGATTTTACTATACTACCAATATAAGCTTCATCAATACTGCATTCGCTCATTTTCGGATCTATTTACTGACGTACTCTTATTTCAAACTAGAGTACGACATGTTATTATTGTTTTGTCGACTCAAATACGAAATAAGATAAAGTTGAGATATTCGAAGTTTGGATTCCACTATGAAATGTCTTTCGATAAAATATGCCTTTAATAACCGCAATTAAGATCAGTTATTGAGCAAGAGTAGCCAAGCTAGTTAGATGTTGCTCAACGATAAGTCGTGTTGTGTTTAGATTGTATTCTGGTCCGGCATTCCTATGATCAATTGACGTAAAGTTTCATTATTATAATCCAGTGTATTCACTTTTTACCTTAGATATTTATAGTTGAGAATCTTACCACATTACCACATGCGCATTTTGAAGTGCTAACACGTTTGCTTACGGTTAGCAAAATTTTGAAAATGAATTGTCAACGTCAACGTCCATGTGGACAGATATACTCGTATGATCGTATCTTCGTTAACTACGTCGACTCCTTATAATAATGGCGTTATATAAAGGTATTTTAATTGGAGCAAAACGGCCTGCATTGAATTTACATTTAACTGTCCTTTTCACAAACTCTACGCTACACCTGTAGGTCATAATGAAAAAAATAATAATTTTCCTTTATATGCTATAATATTGCATTTATTCATTACCATTCTAGGTAGACAAGTATATGGTCCACCTGGTGGTATGTGTTCACAGTCACTCATGGACATCAGCAATCCTAGGGGCACGGTCAAATGCAAAGTTGAAAGCCATTTTCACTTTGTCAAATATGTCATGTTTCTATTATATAAAGTAATTTTAGTAGATAAACCACAGCTAACGTAACGATTAGTACAGACGTCTGCAATAAAAAACAATAATGATTAATTAGCGAGTGGTTTTCAATTATATCGATCGCTTTAAATAAATGCTTTCCGTAAATCAACAACACATAAAGTTCTAATTAAAAAATGAAGAAACACAATTCCTCGGCACGACTTCCCTTCATTTAAATGGTCAAAATTACGTAATAGCTTTGAGGTTCACTAAAATGTATTATGAAAGTGCAATTACACATATGATCCATTAAGACGGCCATTAAGATCAGCGTGGCCAAGAGCGCTGCCGCCGGCGATCATCGTGCGTGACCACCGTGCGCTCGCACTCACTTCACAGAACCAGCCACCGGACAATCTTGCGTAACTTGATCATAGATACTCGGGACCAACTAACCGTATCAATATCGAGAATGTACCAGCTGTGTTTGAACACAAACGCTATCCGCTACGCCATCGGACTTAACGGACAGCCTTTCACGACCAGTCGTGAGATAAGGAGCCGAACTTGGGCAATAACTAAATAAACCGGTTAAGCATCACATTTGGTTTTATTATAAAAGTAAAAAAAAGCTATATTTATACATAACATAACAGTAGCAGCAAAATACCTCCTTTCGAATAACACTAACACTGTGCACTAATAACAAGTAGGAATGAATAGCGACGATGAAACGAATACTTTTAGGCCACGCCATGATACAATGACAGCTTACGGCTGAACGTGGAGGCAGATGACTATTTACAAGCCGCTCAACCGCAACCAGCAAGCAAATGGTGGTAGGAAACACAATTTTCGACGATGACGTTAATCAATTGCTTTGTTCGGCTTTAACTCAGAAATAAATAGATATTTTGTACTACCACCAAAGCTTAAAAGACTGTTTTTCTTTTAATGAAGGGGACCAGCGACGTGTCCGGGAGGACCATATTGAGTGCTGGTAGCTCCACCGTGACCTCCTTCAACAATGGTCTCATCTCCGCCAGTCGCACCAAAATCGCCGCTAATTTCAGCTCCGCCATGGCCAGCTCCGAGATCGCCACCTCCGATGGAACCGCCGCTGATGCCACCAGAGCCGAGATCACCACCACTGATACCACCATCAATACCACCGCCGAGTCCGCCGCCAAGTCCTCCGCCGAGTCCTCCGCCGAGTCCACCGCCAAGGCCTCCGCCAATAGCACCACCAGATTCCTTTTGGGTTTGATATTTGATGAAGTAAACTTCCGGTTTTGAGGGCTGAGTGGGTGCTGGAGTTGGGATAATAATATCAGGCTGCTCTTCAGGCTTCTTAACCAGCACATATACGAGTGTCTTCTCTTCGTTTTGTGGTTGGATAGGAATTATGGGGGCAGTAGGAGTGGGAGGAGTTGGGGCCTTGATGAAGATGATCTTGTAATGTTTCTGGGGTGGAGCCACAGCAGGGATACGAGGAAGTCTTTGCTCAACTGGTTCTGGGGGAGGTACGTGAACATAGATGTGTTTCTGTACAAGAGGAGCACCAGAGTATCCACCCGCATATCCGCCACCGAATCCAGCATCACCTCCGAAGCTCAAACCGCTGCCGCCGCCAAGGGCGAGTCCACCACCGAGACCGAGTCCATCAGAAGAGTGTCCGCCGCCAAGGGAAATGCTGCCTCCAGAAAGGCCACCTAGGGATCCAGAATGACCACCAATAGCAACAGTTCTGTGTCCGCCGCTGATAGAGGAAGAGCTGAAGCTTCCTGAGTGACCTCTGGGAGCGGAGTAGCTGTATCCCACTGGAGGTTCAGGGCGGCCATAGGCCATAGCCACACAGGCGAGTACCTGGAAAGAAGAAAATTGATACTATAATAAAACAGTAAAAGCTTTAATTGTCAATTGAAGACTACGGCATTTAAACCTTATTTAATACAAGCTGGTTAAATATAAATAAATTCACATAATGCAGCTAATAAACTGCAGAACAATGGAAAAATTACTTTAAACGCAAGGCAAGTTTATAATTCGCAAAGCATTAACATAATATCAAATTCCATGAAAGTCTTGCAATAACATGTAATAGAGATGAAAGTGACTCCAAAATGTTAATATAATGTATGTTATCTAGATTCGGAAGTGACGTAAGCCGGATCGGTTCGTATGCGGTAGTCGTAAACAGTTGAAATAATCTGTATTATGCAATAGGGACGAATACTTGGAATTTCGGTCGCCGGTGATTTACACTCGAGCACTTGGAATACAGATCGACGACTTATTTTTATTACCTTCTTCAAAAGTCGACTGTTACCGTGCGACGCGTGAAAATGGACCGGACGTGGTGAAATGGATATCGCGCTCAAATAGAATAATGATCGATTTTTTTTAAATCGCGATCTACATTCGGTATCCATTTACTATTACGTTACACGATAATAAGGGGGTAAGTTAGATTTTGTTTCATTTTTTAGTTCAACTATAATAAAAATGTATAACAAATTTAATATCGAGTTACATTACTTTTAAAATTTTGACCAGTAATGAATTTTCAGATCTATGTATGTGTTTAACATACTCATTTAATTTGCTCACTTATGACTATTATATTGTTCTTCGAAAACAATGTGGTCTTCGTTAATTAAGCACAATTCACTATTATGAAAACTCGACAGTATCCATTTGACTACTTGGCACACTAAGAGATCCATCGTATTCTGTACTTAAATCACAAATCACTTCACTACGATTTCGTTATGTATCCTGAAAAGGCTTCGTTCGTTCACAGAAAATCACTGTTCATAATTCATATGAAAAAAATTAAATACAATGCAAAATCGCATGTGCCAAATAGTTAAAATACAAAAACAAAATAATGGCGCAAACTTGCTTACCACGAAAGCGCGCATTTTGTGCTTGGACGAAACGAGACTGATCCTTTTTGAGCTTACTCGATGATAATTTATTTAGTAACCAATTAGAACAACTCCAACTTTGGAGATGTTCCTGTGGCTGAGAGCTCGTGTTAACTGATGACATTCGCCATGCCGACCCGCTCTTAAATAGCAAGGTGTTCATCTCGTCCGAACGCTCCATCCCTACGGCATTTCACTCTGCAACGTACAACTATCGTCATTATTTAACAACGATACGGTCCTTTCTTTTCGGCGAGGTCTACAGTCGGTGCAGAGCGCATTTGATACGCTACTTTAGCCGCCACCGCTCGCCTCCACACGCTCTCCTGTTCGAAATAATAACACTTTATTTTATTTACCCCAATATCTATAGATCCGAAACATAAGATCAATTAAAAATAGTCTTCTCCCTTTTATTCTTTAAATATTCGAAAAATCTTATTGTCTTATTTCTCTTATTTTCTATATTCTCTTTTTCTTATTATTATTATGTTAAACTACATTTTTGTATTATAATAAAAACTGCTCTAACTTATTTCATCCGAACTATTGTCCAACTTTAGTGATAGAAACAATTTTGTGGTTTCAAAGTCGAAAGTTTTAACTTAAAGCTTATACGTAATCCCTCGAACCAATTACGTAGCGACCATTTGCGATGGTCAATCCTTCGTTAAGTTATGTGTTGCAATGACGAGTAAATTTAAACCTTCTTAAATAGAAACGATACTACGTGCAGAGATTAACTTCAGTAACAGCATTAAGTATTATGTCTAAGTACTCATTTTCAACGCAAATGAAAAGTATTGTACTTAATACTTAAACTCAGTTCGAATTACAAAACTAGAGATGTAAACGTTAAATTTGATCTTGAATCATCAAATAATCAGGTTAATTACATACAGTAACGATTTAAAATAGTGAATTATGATCGCAGATGATGTTAGCGAGTAATCGATTTAATGACCGTAAACAGGATCACCAAAATAAACATACTTAGACATGTATATCTCGGTATACTTCGTTGCGATTGAAAAGGATTAGCGCACCCCGTGTTACTCCATTTCAAAGAATACACGCTACTAACACACTTCACATTGACTTCGGTAGTAGACACCTAATGTACTAATAAAAACTGTATATAGTATAATTAAATCATATAAAAAAATCGCAAACCCATAAAAAACACGAATAACCAAAAATATAGTATTAAAATTTATTAGTATGAAAATAATAAACTTTATTTTAAGAATATTTTGTCTAAAAAAATACATACGAATACGTATTTATTATAAAATTATAATATTGAAACCGAAGACTTTCAATGACTTTCAATTTTACCTAGAACAGATTTAATTTTAGCTAGTCACTCACCTCCTGTATGTGTCACCTTATAAAAGCATACGTCGATCCCCCGAGGGTGCAAGCTGAATTCAATTTCAAGACTTAACTCAAAATGTTTCAGGCACTACCGGTAAAATATCGTGAGTCAAACATTATCTACTGCACAGAGTTTCAAGCGAAATGTGACATAATTTTATTTATACGTGCCAGAAATAAAATAAAAAATACATTTTGTACCATTTATGGTGCCACATGCGCCATGCTTTCTTGATCTGAATTTCATTAAGTATGTAACCGATAATCAACCCAGTAATGTCTACTGTCACGCCACATATGCCAAATATTTTAATTAAGGATGATGTAGAAGTTGACAGAGTAGCTATCGCCGCACAACATCCGTAGCGACCTGACGACATTCTTGTGGTTACTGGAACTGATAGAAATGACAAAAATGATTGTCATCACACACCCTAACATCGAAGACTTGGCTGTTTTGCTTAATTACTATTCCATCCTTTAAATTGTCACATAACTTAAAACTAATACTTGTTCGATTGTAAAAAAAAGCAGGTGAAGCATCAAGGCGTAGTCTCCTGTGAGGAATTGGGGGAGGTGGAGGACCTCAGGCCTCCTCTTCTCCCTCTTTCTCTATAGGTGCCAGAGTCCGACATAACCCGGACCGCTACCCCCCGGATATCCGTAAATCGATACACCAACGTAAAAAAAAGCATCACTTATCGTTTTTTAAACAACTTCTTCACGGTCAGGTTTTAAGATTCCGTCTACTTATCGTCTAGATCAGATTCCATGCTGTTATTGACTCTTAAAAAAAAATTATTATGAGATATAAAAAAATACAGTATTCTTAGAACAAAAACCGTTTTACAGAATATCTGTTCTGTAATAATAAAATACATAAAATTTACTTACGTTACCCAAGGAAAATGGATAGCAATATTTCAACATACGGGACAATTCCCCGGGGAACGCTCTTGTAAAACTCACGTTTCCGAGTATTTCAAACTTTGCAAATATCAACCTTTGTTTTGAAAGCCGTAAAATGTCCGAAGATAAAATAAACAGCCCATTTGATTGATTGTCCTGAAATTCCTAAGGTTTTCTTGGTTAGAAAGTTTACTGAAATTGTTAACAACTTACTGATTCTTTCGAAATTTGCCTTTGGAAATACTCTTTTGTTTGATACACGTTTTATACAACGTTTTCTAACTACGCCGATTGTTTGTTTTATTTATATCGGTGACAAAATAAGATGATGCTATTCCTAAATCCTAGATTTTAATAAATAGTAGCTAATTCGAATAAGATTATTGATTTACTGTTGATAGATAAGACATAATGTTAGCCCACCCGAGGACGTACCTTTTTCTTGTCTATTGCTGCGGCGAAGCTGTCATGATTTCCAGTTTCAAGGATGGGACAGGGCAGGTAATTCTCTTGTAACTAGTGGGAAATTTATCAAAAGGCTTACAATTGAACAAAATAATAATTAAATAAATTTGGTACATAAACAGATACAGCTCAGATCTATTTATGTACTCAAATCAGCTGTTTGCATAGGTAGGTCCATCCATAGAAAAATTTTTTATAGCTTGACTTGCTACTTGTGCAGGTGGCAATGGACCGGTCGCACTGGAAATCTATTGGAGAGGCCTATGTTCAGCAGTGGACGGCGATAGGCTGAAATGATGATGATGATGATGCTACTTGTGCTGTTTTGTACACCTCAGCTCGAATGCTGTCACCCATCTTGACACATGAGACCGCAGTTTCAAGGGGTCAGAACCAGTCTGAGTTGAAAAATTCCGAATAATCATTATTATTATCACACAGATATTTGCTTTTTTCCGTTTGATCTACAATGAGGTATACTCCAAGCTACTCAAATATGATTTCAATGGATATGCTTCAGTCGGAAGTTGCTCAGGTAGCTATTTCTCTGGTACGGCAAATGCCCACGAGCGTCGATGGTCACTTGTCATGACTTGCTGTGCTAAAGGTTAATATTTACATTCCATTCTAACATTAACATACAAATACTTAATCTATACCTAATCCACTTATTTTCATGTTTAATTGGTTACTGTACAGTAGATGACGTGCTGTAATAAATTGAAAAAAAGTCGGAATCAGGAAAAACATTAAAACTTTTATTCTCTCATTATTCCGTAATGAAGTGTAGATGTCTACTTTAACGAGCATTTTCAAAGTTCTTTGACAAATCGATGCGTTGAACCGACAAGAAAACTGAATTTTTTTCAATGACACCGAATTACCCAGCGGGGTCGCAACAAAATTTGAAAGAAGTCTATTGAAAGAAAATATTGCCCCCTTTATCAAATTAAAACCGATAGCCTAAAAGTCCCTATACAATAAAAACAAAACGATATCCCACAGCTACTTAGATTACAGAATATAAGATAACTTAGACTGGGCCCAGATACAAGGAGAAAATGTAAAGAATTATTAAAATAAGTATTCGCTCTTAGTCATAACCAAGACCTTACCGGCTAGCCAAAGAAAGCATCTTGCCGTTGACTTTGATGCCGCCGGATGCGGGCAACGCGGGACCAATAATCATCACGAACCTTGGAAGAGACTTGTATCCAGCTGTGGACGTCTATGAGTTGAACATGATGGTGTTATAAAATCCCAAAGCGTAGGGCCATATCTAATGTAATTTACAGACATGACTGAAATAACTAAAAAAATATATACAAATATCATCAAAATCACTAAACACAGCGACGATCTACAAAATATAACTGAGGATTCCGTTCGTTTAATTAAACCAGAAAATTAATTTAATTATATGCATAACGACAAATATTTGACTTTCAAAAGATATTTTCAAAATCGTTCACTCATTAGGTAAATTCGGAAATTATCTGTTCAATTGCTAGTTAATTGGGTAATTTGAATAAGTATGTTAAGTATATATGTATGTTTTTCAACATAATTTCATATCTTATAATCATAATTGAATTTCTTCCTTATCTTAGAATTTTCAATAATATGATTAATATTGTTATGGGGAAGCAATTATTGCCGTCTGTAAGATTCAAGACCATGATAAAAATCCACATACTGACTATTTATTGCCGATGTCGCACTATCAGTGCATTTATTATATTTAAAATTTCAAAAATATCAATTTATCCAAATTTCTAAGTTAACATTTAACAATTGACGAGTATGTGTGAGTGGTATCCGGTGTTCATGGACATTTTAATTAACGATTCGCTGTTAATACGATGCCAAAATTGATCTGCACATGCATAAGTATTTAGCATATACTTTCAAACCAAATCAAACACGCGAATATTTATTCAATAATACTATAAAGTAGTTTGAGAAGCAATGTTTGTCCATGTTCGTTTTTTTTTTAAGCGAAAAATGATTTTTCTCAATTCTTAATTTAAAAATTTCCACATTTTTCCATCGAAACATTTACATATGATAGTAATAGTTTAAAATTATGTTCTTCGCATTCCATCACATAAGAAGCGGTCCGTTTACCTTACGCTACGGGAGAAAGGAAGAAATATATTCAAAAGTGATTGTGGTGAAGTCGATTTATTAAACCTACGTTTAAGCTCGAAAACCTGTTTGTGTCGTATTCCAGTTGTGGTCACGTGACTCAATTCATGTTCTATAACACAGTAAAGTTACATTTTGCTATGAT